TAAAAAATGGAAGTTACAAACTGACCATGATGCTGTGGTTTATGTATCATAAACTGCCGCGTATATAGAGAATACTTCATGGAAAGTGCTGGCGTACGGTATTTACGCACGAGTTGTTGACGTATCAGAAATCGAACGAGTGAGCGCAGCGAACGAGTAAGATTTCTGATACAAAAACAACGAGAGCGTAAATACCGTACAAAGCACTTTCCATGTGGTATTTTGCGTATTATATACATACTGAGACATTCATCATTTTGGCGGCCGTTTTATTTTAAATCGTTCAAAAATGCTAAAATTTGCCGCTACGCACTTAACGCAAAATGACAACGAAAACGAAGCATCAGCTTTTTTAGTAAAAACGTTTGTTAAAAACATAAATGACGGTAAGGATATGAGGTAATCCAAGAACTATAAGTAATCTTAACTGTTTGTTCTCAGTGCACAATTGAAAATGAGTGAATTTAAGTAAAATGGCAAATTTCAATATAAGCTTAAGCTTAAATGAAAGGCACACTAGCTCCGACAAAAAGCACAACAAAAGTCTCGTTCTGTTTTTCCCTTTCCGCTGTTGTTTCGCCGGCTCTCTACCGTTTTCTTTATCGACAGTGAAACAAACGAAACTATTCCACTCCATTTCCGAAATGTTTTTCACTTTTTTAGCGAGAAAAACTCTTTGAGTAAAACTTTTCTCGTTGAATGTGTGCGAAGCAGCGCTGCCAGCTGCAATAAAAGGCGGGAATTTAGCGCGAAACTCACACACCTATGTGGCTTCTGATTGGACGTATCATTTTTTTTCACGTGTGAAAACCATCGTTCGCTCCTCTGATTGGCTAGAACTAATTTGCGTACGAAAATTTACGACATAGCTTTTTGGTGAGTATTTCTCAGTATGTATATAATAAAAGCCCCTCCCTCCCCCCCTACTTAATTATAAACCTCCTCAGTTATAGGCCTGTGTACTTGTGGACAAAAAAATACGTCTAATTATACCCGCCCCCCGGGAAATAAACCCCTCTCCAAAGAAATGTATTAATAAATTCAGTGAAGCTTACTTGCAACCAGTAAATGCAAAACGGATTTTGGTCAGCACTACTACAGTTCGTTTCGAAGCGCTTCTTTCCCGGTTATAAGCCCTCTTGGATAAAAGCCCCACCGTTTATAGGCCCTACTAAAACCCCCTACGGAAATGTATAAGCCCATGACTTCTAACCGGCAGTTTACGGTATATGAGAATACGTCAACATTAGTCGCTCAGATCCGATACAGTACTCCAGTGGTGTGGCACTCTCAGTCCCTTTCATTTCGTACCTTCACCAAAAAAATCTTATTGCACAGAGAGCACACTTGAAAAGGAGTGTCTGTTTAATAACTTTCTACAAGAATCTGTTGATTAGGCAAGAAAATAGTGTCCGGGGAAACTTACCATTAGCATGCCTAGCAACCGTTTCCAATCGAGTTATTGCGCGAATGTTGTAGCGAGATCTAAAGAAAGGGAAGATAGAAGGGGAGGGGAGGGGGTAAGAGAAATCTCCCCCTCCCCCTTCAACCTTTATACAACCTATTTGCTCTCGTCTCAACGATCTCGACGAAGTCACGCGGAAACGCTTGCTACGCAGGTTAACTTACCATTTACGTGGGAAAAACGGTAATTCCGGTTGGAAAATCAAATGGTTCGCGTCATTCCGTTTGGAAAAATACGGAAAATATCGGCCATGTTTTGAGGCGATGCAATTTTTCTACTCTTTTAGACTATTCAGCTGATTTGGATGTGTAAATGGTAAGAACCCCCGGGTTTCCGTATTAAGCGGGATAGGTTAAAAGACGCAGCGTAAACGACCTTCTGTACGTAACGAAAAAGTGGGGCTGGACTTATAGACCCCCCTTAAAGCTATAGTTATTAGCGACATTCTTAAAATATAATCGCTAATGTCAATAACATTGTTATGCAATGATTCTTTCATTAAAAAGGTCTTTCACAAGGGCTGATATCTCACAAAAGATTACACAGACAAGAAAACCAATTACTAAATGTGCTTTTTTAAAACGTTCGTAAAGCTTAATCCTGTGTGGCTATTATTTGATCGAGTGGGCGGCATCAATAATTTAACAGTTGTATCAGTTTGTGCCATTATGCATTGGTTTGCCGAGACTTTTCGCACCCCGGAAAGAGCCTTTAATAGCCTCGTTTATATCAAAGGATACAAAGGGGTGATAATAAACTAAGATTTAATTGAGGTAAAGTAAAGGATAATATTGGGTTCTTTTGGTGATTGTTTGGTGAACACTTTTTACCTAACGATAAGCAAAGTTCTAAGAATATAGGTAACTGTTTGGTAAAAACTTTTGGATTTGAACTTCTCAAAAGCTAACTGTACACTTATAATCATATCTTTGCAAAGTTACGCTGTAAAGGCAACACAAAGCAAATAATACCATTCTAAATATATTGCTACTGAAATGTTTCAGTCCAGGTCGATAAAAAATCGTTTTAAAGTTAAAAGTTAATTAAACGTTGTCAACAGTAAATTGAAGATGGTGAAAAAAAAGCACTTGATTTGAGTGTCAATGTATTTAGCGCGAAAGTACTAATTGAGGACACTATTTTTACGTCCCCTACTGGAGACGGAACCGCCATTTTAAGTTGTCATCCAAGCCACGCGAAGGTCTAGCCATTTGCAAGGTAAAGGCAGTATCTTCATTTCTCAGTCTTTTTAAGACCCTGATCGAGTGTTGGTCCGGTCCCGAGAATCGAAACCCGCTACCTCCTGCTCTTCAGTCAAGCGCTCTACCGACTGAGCTAATCCTACTGCAGTTTTTGGACGCCCCCAAAAAATATGATCATGATTCGCTTTATCAATTCAACAAGATGTATTCCACTTCTTTTACGACATTTTTTTTCTTGATATTAGTACTGCTTAAAAAACTAGAAGGAGTGTCGCCTCGAGTTTTAAGACCTGATGATACAAGACTGCGGCTTCTAAATCTTTGATATAGATCAACTCATTCTTGCACTAATATTCAGATCAGTTGGGGTTATTTTGGTCTAAAAAATTTGACGTAAAGTTAAGCTGTGTCTTTATCAGATATAAAGACACTCATAAACATAAGTTTCTTTTGTTATTTCTTTATGAATTATTTTTGAATATCCCTCAGAGAGGCAACAACGGTCATCAAACCGTATGGTTCTTCTCGGACGAATGAGAATGTGCGCCGCCGGCATGCCTGCGACGAGTTGAACTTGAGTCAACTTCGCAGGCATGCTGGGGGTAAAGACTGGGATGAGCAATGTTGCAGGCCACTTCTGTTCTCATATCGGAACAGTATCCCAGGCAGTACCGGCGGCTATGTTGCAGTTTCGTCGGCGGCATATGAGAACCATGCTTTATTTAGCTGCGGCCTACACTTAAGCTGCCGAACAGGGAATGCTGGAAACAAGACCGATATAATGTCTGTTCATATATTAAACAGTCTGTTACCTTCCCTTAAGCGACAACCCAAAATGCAAAGATTTAGTGGTCGAGCAACTACGAGCGATGGTCGCTTACGAGAATCGAACCACGAAGGGTCTCTTCCAAGAAAAGTTCCGGACGCATCTGCTTTAGGGCAGAAAATTTATTGCATGCATGCAATTTCTTAGATGCCATCCGTGTGAGTTCCATATGGTGACTATCTAGTATATACCAAAAGTTCTTCATAATTACTCTTAGTTGCATAGTACATATAGCGAACATAGAGATCAGACTATGCGTCAAGTGATCGCTTACAAGAGGGTTGAAAACAATGGCAAATTAAACTGAAACCGCCAGCCGCAAAAAGTATACTTAGTCGCGGTCGCTTAGAGGCTCCAACTGTAAAGCTTTTGTTGGGAAAGGATGAGTATTCGCTTTAATATTGGAGCTAGGTGGTCGCTTATGGGAGCTGGTCGCACATGAGGGTACGATTGTTTTATTTTACTGTCAAGCACTGTTTATCTGATCGGCCGCTGGCTTGGAAGAATTTGGGCGATCCGTTTCCTGTGTTTCTGACATTATGAATTATTATACTGACATTAATAAATTCTATGACCCCAAAATGTCAAATTGTTTTTGTGATTAGCACAATGAAAGCCAAAAAAAAACCAACGACTCGCTATGGCAAGTCATTTTCTTGCTGAATTATTTATCAACGGACATTAGCTTTAGCTTAGCAATAGATCCACAAAAAGGTCTAAGTATAAGGGAAAAAAAAGTATTAACCGAAATTTAGAAATATAAGATCACTTATGAGAGAAGTCGTTGACTTCATGCTCTGTATAGCACTGCAGAATGACTATAAATATTTTAACTTACATTTTTAGCTATTTTAACTTACCTTAATAGAGAGAGTCAAGACTACATGAACGCAGGTTCTTACGTGCAAAAGTTACCGTTCAAAAGATTTCTTCCGGCTTCTTTTCAAGATTTCTCTTAGCTTTGTATACACTGACTAATGATAGTCGTTAAGATTTGACAGACTATTGAAGATGCAAAAAATTATGGTCATTAACTGACGTTGATTTTGCTTCGGGTTAATTGTTCAAAAGGTACCGGTATTTTTTACTGCTAGTTTTAAGTGCTGTGATGAAATTTTTTTGGACAAAAAACAAAACGATTTCGCCGCCTATAACCTCAATTTTCCTTTCCTGACTAATTGCCTAATGAATTGATGCTTTAAAAACAAAATTGCAGAGTACGGCCTGAACAAATCCAACCTAAGTCTATTGTGCTGTGTTCCTAAATCAATCTTTATTCTGTCCACAAAAGAAGATTAATTGCACGAAATCCCTTAAGACAGAGTAACAGTGGATTCTCTAAGAGGTCACACTTTTACATTAGCAAGCCGAATGCAGTACTAATGATTCACTGATGATTTTGTGTTTTCCTGTTTTTGAAGCGATCAGTGTTTCCCTCCCGGTCTCGTTGTTCGATGATCCGAACCGCGTTGTCATGAAAACAAGAAGCCGGCGTTGGGGTTTGCTAGTGTGATGACCGCGGACGGTTAGTCAAGCGTAATTCCATGACAAAAAAAGGTCCATTGACGCAATTTTTTAAGCATTCATCGCACCATTTCGTAAATAAGAGTCGTCACTTTCTTTGTTGATTCATCACTGAAGTTGTTGTATCTTTGCATTGAGGTATCAGAGCTTCTTACTACCATTGCAAGGATGCGACACATAGAGGAGTCTAGAAACCCAGCTCTTCGCAACAGGCCTACTGACGAACATACAAAGGAAATACTTGAACTCGTGAGAAAGCGAGCGGAAGAGGACTTAAAAAACGCAAATCTTAATTTCGACCAAGCCCTGCTAAGGCGAGTATCGGTAACTCGGCCAAATGAGCCACTGCCGTCGATCCGAGTTGATTATGACCACGACCATTGGCTAAAGAGACGGAGCTGTCCGGCAGGACTCGACAACGAGGAAGCAGACACAAGTTTAACGTCACGGTGGAGGTCTTTGAGCGATTCACCTTTGCTAGAATTGAGAAATCGTTCTCCGAGGGAACGCACGGTGTCATCCCCCGCGAGTGATACATCGGCAACATCGCGGCGTGGAAGAACGCGAAGATTGTCAAATATTCTTCCTCCTTTAGAATCGACAAAGGAGGGTTTTGAAAGACCGAACTGTGTTCCTTCGCGTCGCCACAGTGGCTTTTTGCTACAACCGAAGGAAGATATAAATATGAAATTAACTTATGACGAGGAATGAGTTTTTGCTCGATGAATGGTTGCCTTTAAAATCAAATTATATGAAGATATAAAATATGTACAAAGTGATATGAAGAAAATCCAAGGGCTGAACAGTCGCCAAGTACTGATTACCCCAAAAATCAGTTACGAAAGGTACATCTTCCGGCTTACAGCTAGATGTTAGATCATGATCACTTTTTAGAAACAGACACCGTCTAAAGAACGATCATTTGAAGAACTGTAAGTGAAGAAAACAACAACAACCAGTAGAATGTGTACGATTTTTGGCGGCTTTAGCTCAGTGATTTCAGTCTTGCGGAAAGGGAATTGTTGGGTTGCTTTTAGGAAGGCTACAGAGAGTGTAAGAATTATAATCAACCCATGTAAATAATTTCAATTACGTTCTCATGTTGTACACAACAATACACAGTTAACATGAAAGTGTTCTGTTTATTTAGTGGCCTTAACTCCAGAAAGATATATAATGCCACCCCCGTGTAGAAAACCCTTTCTCAAAATTAAAAGTTCTACTTCGTACTGTGCGCACGCGTTGTTCTAGAAAAATACCTCTTTAAACATTGTTTATACTTCAGTGACTCAGCCACATGGGGTAATTAAGGCATATACGACCTGTTAATAACAACTACACAATGGCGNCATTTGAAGAACTGTAAGTGAAGAAAACAACAACAACCAGTAGAATGTGTACGATTTTTGGCGGCTTTAGCTCAGTGATTTCAGTCTTGCGGAAAGGGAATTGTTGGGTTGCTTTTAGGAAGGCTACAGAGAGTGTAAGAATTATAATCAACCCATGTAAATAATTTCAATTACGTTCTCATGTTGTACACAACAATACACAGTTAACATGAAAGTGTTCTGTTTATTTAGTGGCCTTAACTCCAGAAAGATATATAATGCCACCCCCGTGTAGAAAACCCTTTCTCAAAATTAAAAGTTCTACTTCGTACTGTGCGCACGCGTTGTTCTAGAAAAATACCTCTTTAAACATTGTTTATACTTCAGTGACTCAGCCACATGGGGTAATTAAGGCATATACGACCTGTTAATAACAACTACACAATGGCGCTATTTAAGTGTCGGTAAAGGTTGTACAAAACAGTACTATACACGACTAATGGTCTTACTTCAATGAAAGCTGCAAACACGAAGCAAGACTATAAGAAAGCTTTTAAGGAATCTCATTGTAGTTCTCAAAGAGCCTTTCATTAAGCCTTTGTTCTAGATCATCAGACAAGGAAAGATCTGTTTGAATAATTTTAGAGAAAGAATTACCCGTTACCTCATACCTTTTTAAGCAACTCCCTTTAGATCTATTAATCCAGATTCTCTGTACCCAGTTCCGATAAATTGTGCCTCGCTAACTCCTGAATTTGGCAGCTTGGTTTCCTGCGCGGTATAAAAGATCGTCGAGCTCCCCAGACTACCCGCCGGCCAGATAACAAAGTTAGTTAAATGTAAGATATTGCCAAGAATTTAATGTATCTTGTCTAGTCTGCAAAGATCCAACATTTATGGATGGTGCGACGCAATATATATTCATATTCAGTGTAGAAAATAACGGTTAATTTCACTCTTGACTTGTAATTAATGTTGCAAACTTCTGAGAGGGACCCGACGTAAAAAAACGCTTTCAAAGTCTTCAAACAAGAACAAATACAAATTTTATTACGTTAGTTGCTGCTCAAAAACTCTTGGTTTCTCGTTCATACAGTAATATACTGTTTCAATAGTGTAATTAACAGTATCATAGGAAAGTGCTGCTCTGTGACTTTCAATAACTCAGAATCATTCAATAATCCAACACTTGTACATTCTAGTCATACACCGATGGACACAAAGTTACCAAACTCTTGCCAAAACTCAATGATATAGCTACATAAAAATTACTCAGCTAAACATTTACATCTTAAGCTTCGCACGGAAAATTCCACTGTAGAGCCTATTTATAGATTGCAAAACAGTCGGTTTTTTGTCCCTCAAAATTTCGTTTTTACCTTCACTCCAGAACTTTATTTGAACAATCCTTCGTTTTTCACCTACGCAAAATAACGGGCTGTTTTGCAGTCTAAGGAAACAGATAGAAACAAAGTTTTGGCGGCCCACCACAATTTCCTTTTCTTTTGCTGAACTCGATTAGATTATTCCTGACTTAAACGTAGTTTGCGTTCTGTTTGAAACTGCTAATTAGTTCTATACTGGTTCGACTCTCTTGTGAAGTGCGTTTTCAGTTTATTCATTTTCATCAAAAATGTTTTAAATATATTTTAAACAAATAATGATAAAATGAAAATGATTCATTGTATCGATTTATGATTATCGGAATAAACAGATAAGTTTACCCATTGTTTTTCGTGGCTAGGGAAACTAATGACGCAAATTGGAGGCCTTTATCGCGCGTCACCAATAAATCGGAAATAATTATCATTTTATTTGAAAATGTTAACGTGTTAACTTTATTCAGGTCTCTTTTGATGACGACAGATCATAGTGAAAATTTTATAAAATTTGAATTTTACTTTGATCAAATACCTTAATCCTACATAAAGCTTTCCGAAGTGAAAAAATGAAAAAGTAAAATTTGTTAAGGAAGAATGAACAATTACAGCTCGATACAACCCTTTGTTTCATCTTGCTATTCAAAGACTCACGCAAAGGGCTTAAAATGTTTGTCTTTGTAGTATTGGTCCATCTTACCTTTTGTATGTAGCTGAAAAATAGAGGATATTACATGGCCGCCCGAGGATACGAATTTTATCTGCGAGTGCTGAAAGTATCTCTCACACGTTCGCTTCGCTCACTCGTGAGAGATAGCAAAAACAGCAAAATAGTGCAGTTAAAGTGGTCACCTTCGCAAAATGCCTGTCACAAAAATGGTTTGAAATAAAGACAATAATACTTATATTTTCTGTTCCAAAAAGTCAAAATTCTAAAGAAGAAGAGAAAAATTGTATAACAGAAAATTCTAATTCTGTAATCATGTTAGTAACCACGGCGATACCAATATCCTCACACGTGAAAGATAAAAATAGTATCTTCACTGCGCGCGATGAAGATATGATTTTTTAGTAAAAGGAAAAATGCTGGTATTTCATCAGTATCTATATAATAAAAGTATTTAGTAGTGTTTATTTGTGATTAGTATTTTTGGTTTTTTCTCTCTCTGATATAAATATAAATTTCTTTTTTTAACCTTTACAAATGATGTTAAAAGTTGATACCATAGTTTGAGAATAGAAATGAGCGAAATCACACACATTTCCATACTATCTTGACATCATTTTGAAGTGAGGAGATAAACCATGTTACATTTATATAAGCTGAAACTTTTTAAAAGGTTAAGTTTGATCGTCCGGGTGAACGTAGTCCTGAATAGGACTGTTGTTGTTGACAGTGACTGACGTTTCGACAACCTGTGCGGTAGTCATCTTCAGAGTCAAAGTGAGTTGTATCACGTTAGTTGATGGTATTATACTCTGGTTATTGATCTGATTGGTCAATTATGTCGCGTTGTTATGGGGTGTTATTGCGATTTTATTACAACTCACTTTGACTCTGAAGATGACTATCGCACAGGTTGTCGAAACGTCAGTCACTGTCAACAACAACAGTCCTATTCAGGACTACGTTCACCCAGACGATAAGACTCAACCTTTTGAAATGACTCCTGGGTTCAAACCTTTCACACTAAAACGTTTTGTTTCAAATGTTGTCCTATACACTTGCATGTGTATGCACATTATGAAAAAGCAAAAGGTAATTCCCTTGAGTATCACGTGATCTAAGATGGAAAAAGACACACATAGGCTGAAAAGGTCTATTTATTACAGTCGGCCATCTGTAATTTTGAAGGCACGAGATGACTGGGGGTGGGGGGGAGGGGAGGGGATAATGCGAAAAGAATAAAGACGGCGCAAGCGAATTCTTTTAACTCGTTCATCCCTAAAAACACCTACGCCGCTTACCATTATGCTACCAGTGACAACCCTAACCTAATATGTAGGGCTCATTCGTTTGAGTACTACTTGAACTGTGGCCATAAGTTATTTGATATTTGGCGTCATAGCCGACGTCATTTTGGAAAACATCTTATCACTCTTTGTTTTGCTTTCTTTTCTTATTCAGGATGTTTGTACGTTTCTATGACAAGGTATTTATATGACGCTTCACCACAACAAAGCCCAATTGACAACTTTTTTTTCTTCATGTACAGTATTCAGTAACAAAAGTAGCCACTCTTTGTGCTGGAGAAACATGCTTACAAGCGAAAATGTCGTTTAGAGGGAGACACTTTCCCCTTTTTCTCTCTCCGAATAAGTTAGAAAAGTAAGCGAACTTTTACCTTTTGCGGCCTTCCTTAGGAACTAAACAGTGATTATTGGAGTTATTTATGATTGCCTCCAACCAGTCATGTGACATTATTCCGTGACATGTTCGGGTTATTTCCGGTCATTATATTGATCATCTGTTGACTCAAACAAAAAAGAAAATTAGAAAGGAGAATTCATGAGACCACACAGCCGGATTGCACATGCTTATAAAAATAACCACATCACACAAAGCAAATAAAACAAAACACAACATAACACACAAGAACTGTTTAGCAAAGCAAACATTTTTTCTTTATTCTTATCACGTGGTTACCTCTTTTCTTCTAAGTAAGATACGAGAACTGTGAGCTACGCTGCATAAAACTCAGTTTTTTCAAATCTCTTCAGCTGAATATTGCTAGTAACATCCTTAACAGACACTAATTAAACCAATGAGGCAGTCCCCCTTCTAAAACCAGAGCTTTATCAAAAATAGTTATCAGAGGAAATGAGTATCCCCGGACTGGGGGTTGTGGGGGGCGGGGGGGAAGAAACTCCCTTATTTGGCCTAAACGGGTATTGCAGCTGAACAGGGTATGGTTTTTAGGTTCGTAAAATAAGGTCTCTTTTCGTAAACAGGGTAGGGAAATGAACTATTTTTTGAAGGCCTCACGACACACTTCTACCCAAAACGTCTCTTGAGAAACTCGCCCCCCCCCCCCCCCCCCCCCCCCCCCCCCCCCCCACCCCCCCCCGCCCCATCACCCCCCCCACGAGCACCAAAAAACCCATCGTCCGACCGCAGAGGGAGAGGAGCGACGCGGTGTGAGAGGTAATACAAACACACAACA